AGCTAGCTTCCGTTACAAGCGCAAAACGTCAGCGAATACTATAAAGGATAGATACGGACAACTTCAATCACAGCAACTACTAACATCGACATCTCGTTCTCTTCAAATGGATGACTGGCAAGACGCCGCCTTCTCCTCGCGACACATGCACAACCGCAACAATCGCAGCGGCAAAGCAAAGCACAGAAGCGCCTTCGACGTTCGGAAGACATTCGGCAGCTACGCAGTCAAATGTCCAGCATGGCAAAAGCTTCTGAACGCTACGGATAGTGCGCATTCGGAACAAGACGCAACGTTAGAGTTGTACCGTTTAACAGAAAATGGCGAGGGCGTCGTCGGCGAACTCTCTTTACATAGCGTATTGCACGCGTCGGTCATTCTGGCTGGGAGTCGCGACAGCCTCCGGAAAACGGTCTCAGAACTGGAGTCAGTTGACGTCGATGGCGACGCAGCGGAAGATGACGAAAACGATCAGGAAGATGGCGATGATAATGCGGATGAGGAAGAGTCGGAACGGGATCGTTTCGAAACATTTGAGAAGAACAGTTTCCGCTCGCCCAAATTCTGGTTTCGATGGAGTGGCGCACCCACGGACAACACGCAAAAAACTCCGGAAGAGGCTGGTCCTACAGGGACGGAGACGGAGCTCGGGTACATGGTGTTCTCCGGCAACGACTGTCGCAAGTTCAAGGGCACGATCAACTGCACACGCCTCAAGTGGAAGAACGTAGCGCTCACAGGCCACAAAATCGTATCACGGTCCGAGTCTGATGCTCAGGTCACTTGGGGCGAGGATGGAGTAGAGATATAAGGCGCTTTGATACTACACATGTTAGCTATAGCCGAATAGTAATTGCCTGCGTCCACGGGGTAGTCTTGATCATGTAAATGTGGGGCCCACGTGAACAGGCGTCGCCAAGAGTCCATGGATACCGAAAGTCGCGGATGTCGCAACCCCACAAACAGCTGCTCCAAACACGATTATGCCACCAAAAGGCTCCAGAAAGTGTGCAGCCGCAACACCAAACAACACGCTCGTCCTCGATAATGGCGCATACACAATCAAGGCCGGCCTCGTGGCCAATGGCGCAACTCCCACGTACGACGACTGCCGGGTGATTCCGAACTGCGTCGCGCGCAGCACACGCGACAAGCGCACCTACATTGGGTCTGAGCTCGATGCGTGTAAGGATTTTGGCGAGCTCGCATTCCGGCGCCCGGTCGAGAAGGGCTTCATCGTCAACTGGGAGGCCGAGAAGGCGATTTGGGAGCACGAGTTCATGGGCGATGCGGTGGGTACGCACATTCATGACAGCCCCCAAGATCTGGAAGCTAATCTTCACAGTGTGAGCCAAAGGAAACGAATCTGCTACTGACCGAGAAGCCGAACTGTCCCCGAGAGCTGCAAAAGAACTGCGATGAGATCGTCTTTGAGCAGTTCGAGTTCGCTGCATACTACCGTTGCGTGGGCCCGACGCTGAACGCCTACAACACTCCCACTGCAGCCTCACTATCGTCTCTTCCCCAGGAATGCCTCCTCCTCATCGACACGTCGTACTCAGACACGACGATCCTGCCTCTGTACAACGGCAGGCTCATACAATCGGCTGTGCGGCGCCTCACCGTCGGTGGGAAGCTGCTCACGAACTACCTCAAGGAGCTTTCTTCGCTGCGACACTACAACATGATGGAGGAGACGTATCTGCTGAACGAGATCAAGGAGGCCGTTTCGTACGTGGTGCCCTCGCCACAGCAATTCGACAGAGACTTGGAGCGGACGTGGAAGGGAAGGTTGGGGGACAAGAGGCAGCTGGACTCGAGCGTAGTCGTCGACTACGTGTTGCCGGACTACGAGAATGCGATACATGGCCATGCGCGACCCCACGATGCTGCAAATTCGCGCATGCGCCACGGGATGCAACCGCTGCAGGGGCCGAGAGAGGACCTGCTACCCCTGGGCAACGAGCGCTTCGCTGTGCCGGAGTTGCTCTTCAGTCCGTCGGATATCGGCATCCAAGAAGCTGGTCTCCCTGGCGCTATCCTGGAGTCGCTGAGCGGATTACCCGAAGCACTGAAAATCGGACTGCTGGCAAATGTGGTCGTCGTGGGCGGGAACTCGCTGATTGCTGGTTTTATCGACAGACTGGAGGCGGAGCTGAGGGCCCTGGTGCCGGCAGCGTATCTGCTGAACATGGTACGGGCAGATGACCCGATCAAACACACTTGGCTGGGAGGAGCGCATCTCGCGAGCCAGCCGGAGCTGCTGAGAGAGGTGCTTGTGACGAAGGCCGAGTACGACGAGAGGGGGTCCACGTGGCTGGTGAAAAAGTTTTCTTGATGAAGATAGCCGTAACAATAGCAACAACTTTGTCCAAATGTCCGAGCATCCAAATATCTAAAATCTCCAGGTGCATGCTTCGGGGTTGCTGTGACGCTGATTGGCCTGTCAGCGGCGGCTTGGCGCCGCGGCAATTGCATGTCGAAGAATTTCCCGCCAACACCCATCGCCTGCAACTCGACCCCAATGCGCCGAATAGCGCGTCCCTCGCGGGCAATTGATCCCTCATACGCGCTCTGTGCGTCAATACGGCAACGAGTGTCGCCATTACCCTGCCGCTCCGCCGCCGCCACCGCCGCCTTCTCCACCACCCCACCCAGCGCCTTCCTCCTCCCGGGCAAGCAGGACAAGAAGAAGCACCAGCAGTTTGTGCGACGATGGCAGAAGCGGCTGCTCGGAGACTCGGAGCCCATTGGCGCCCACGTCGACCCCTACGACCCGACATCACCAGTGCGGATAGCGCCCGAGGAGCAGGGCGAGTATGAGGAAGTGCTGGACGAGGAAAAGGAAAAGCAGAAACAGAAGCAAAAAGAAGAGTCACGATTCCCCCGCTATCTGCCGGCCGACACCAGTCGCGGCCTGTTGAATGTGGGTGGCGAGGAATGGTTGCGGCAGAAGCTCGAGGGCGACATGGCACGCGAGTTTGAGAAGCTCACGCTGCGCACATACACGCCGCTGACACTGGAAATGGCGGATGCGATCGAGGAGCTGACGAGCACGCCGTACACGCTCAAGGACGAGAACCTGATGATGGCGCAGACGGTGCATCAGGTGACGGGACGGCCTTACACGATGCACAACTTTGGCTTGTACAGGAAAGCCACGACTTCGCGCCAACTGCGCAGCCGATTCGCGCAGGCCGTCGCCGAAGTCTATGCATTGAAACAGGCTGGTCTCGACATGGACGTTTCCAACTTGGCCAACCGCGGAGTCTACGATGTGCCGCCCTGGGTCAAGGACATCAAGCTGTCTAGGACGGACAGTGGCGAACCAACTCTTGCGTTTCCTGAGCACAAGAGTTTGGAGGAGTTCCTGCAGGCCATGCAGACCGCACCGGCGTGGGAGACAGTGCCGGCCGAAGAAGAGGAACTGCTCGTTGAAGAGGCCGAGGATGAAGCCGAGCATGTGTTGGACCCAGTTCTCCATCCGGAGCAACCGCTCATCATGGACCCAGAAATACCGGCGTTCAAGAGGGCAGCCGTAATCAAGATGGACCCCGACAAGAAGCCGTTTGACTTCATGTCGAATCGCCCTGTACCCCGAGCCAAGCTCGTAGAGGAACCAGTCGTAGAGGAACCAGTCGTAGAGGAAGCAGCCGAAATCCAGGAGCTCATACCCCAAGATGTGACACCTGCTGCCCCGCCCGTGACCGAAGGCATATCCGAAGCTCAGGAGTCCCTCGACCATCACCCCGCCACCGCGCCCGAACTCGATGCAGCACTCAATGAACAGCGCCTGTCCGCGCTCCAAGAAAGGGCACAGCGCTCGGCCTCCGATTTTGCGGCATTGAGAAACGCTTTCCAACAAGGCCAGCCAGGTGCTTCAGCTCCCAATGTCGAAGAGACGCAGTGGCGGAAAATCCTCGTCGGTGATGTCGCACTCAAGTTCGCTGTAGGTTCCTCCATCGGTCACATTAGACGGTCTGCTAACACATATAGCTGTTCAAACGCCTCTTCCAATTAACCGGTCACCGCATCTCGGACCCCCAGCTCTCTTCAACAAGAACCCTCGGCGACTTGTACAACTTCCTCTGCACGGCTGCGAAGCCACAACCGACGAGCCTCTTCGCCGCCATGCACGTAGAAGGGCAGAGGGCAAGGGAGAACGCGAAGAAGCACGCACCATCTCTCGCGTCAGCCACGACCACACGACCCACCCCTTCTGCAGCCAAGAGGAAACCGGACCTTGGTGATCTTATCAACCTCGGCAACGTCTCCCTCCGCCGCGTCAAGCCCACAAAAGCGGAGAAGCGCACCTCGACTGGTCTCGACAAGGTTGTGCAGTACGCGCTGTGGGAACGCGGGTTGGGGACTGGTGTACCCTCCCGATTAGGGAACAAGGGCAAGAGAGTTGCAAGGGTAGGCAAAGGAGTTGCAGGGAAGGAGAGGGTGTTTGAGAAGGTGATGAGTAGTAGGGGAGCAAACTTCTTGGCCAAGAAGACGAGGAGGTGGAGGGAGAAGGAGGAGAAGATGAAGGTGGCCGCAAGGTGAGGGTAAGAGGCCGATGTGTAAGGTAGGAATAGGGAATGGGTATGCAGGTGATGAGTCTTCACGGGCACTCTATCTGTGGAATGCAAGGATAAACTTGTTTTGTACAATAATGCATGTAGTTGTTCCACATGTCATTGAGCATGCTTCACATGCAGCGAATCCTGGCTGCTGTATGTTGCTCTTGTGTCGCTATAGCATCCCATGTTCCCTCCTACACCATTGTGTGCTGTACACTTCTCAACTTGGTACGTGGTCTTCCTAAGGGTTGTTGGTTGTTAGTATATAGCGTACATGGTGAATGGAAGTGACGTTCAGAAACTGCACACTACTGAACCGTACATGCCCCACCGATAGTTTTGTACATGCCGAAGATCCCAGTGCAGCCCGACTATGCATCAGGATTTTTTAATAACATTATAATTATTATTTTTTGACAAATACCCATATCAACAGGGGATGTGGCTCAGTGGTAGAGCGCCCGCTTTGCATCTAGCATGTCTGCGGGAGGCCCAGGTTTCGATCACCTGCTTCTCCACTTCTTTTTGCTTTTCTCGGGTCATTCAGCTGTTCTTCCCGCTTAAGCACTGTTTTGTTGAGCGGCCATACCTTTTTTTAGCTTGCAAAAGACGCCGGCGTTATCGGCCCGCCAAGACGCTGGCGATGATACCGAGACACGCGACGAACGTGTTCACACAACCTTGGAAGCACCGTATGGCAGTCGCAATTGTTCCACGTCGGCGACAATGAGGTTACGCACAGCTCCAGCATGGCAAACCCTTGCGGTTCTTCTTTTGCTCGGCGGAGTAGCTCTTGCTTCGCTCGGTGACAGGCTGCCCGACTTCAAGGACTGCGTGCAGGTAGGCAATGCCCCGAAGCATGGAGCCTGAGGCCCAGTACTTACCATCGTCCCAGGTCTGCAAAGAAGCCAATTGTGGCGAGAATGCGACACCAATACGTATGCTATGACATGCCGCCTTCAAGACGCCCCAACTCACCATTTCCAGCCTTCCACCGCCGCATCCTCTTCTGGGACTGTCCCGCCGAATGCGACTACACTTGCCAGCACGTCGTCACCGACAAGCGTCTCGCGCGCGACCCGCCGTATATGCACCCCATCTACCAATTCCACGGCAAATGGCCCTTCTACCGCTTCATGGGCATGCAGGAGCCCTTTAGCGTCGTCTTCTCGCTCTTCAACTATCTCGCCCACGACTGGGGCATGGCACAGCTACGCGAAAAGATCCCGGCCTCATACCCGTTGCGGAAATACTACATCTGGTTCGGATATGTGGGGCTGGCGAGCTGGACCTTCAGCATGATATTCCATACACGAGACTCCAATCTCACGGAGAAGTTGGACTACTTTGCGGCGGGCGCGAATGTGCTGTATGGGCTGTACTATGCGCCGATACGCGTGTTCAGGCTGGATAGGAAGGAGCCGCGGAAGCAGAGCTTGTTGCGGATTTGGACGGGCTTCTGCATCCTGCTGTACGCTATGCACGTTCTCTACCTCTCGCTGTGGTCCTGGGACTACACGTACAACATGGCAGCAAACGTCGCCGTCGGTGTCGTAGCGAACGTGCTTTGGAGCGGCTTCAGTTATGTCCAGTACCAGAGGATAGGGCGCACATGGGCAGTGTGGCCGGGTCTCTGCGTGGCTTGGATCGTCGTGGCCATGAGCTTGGAGCTGCTTGACTTTCCGCCGTGGATGGGCATGATTGATGCGCATAGCCTGTGGCATTTGGGTACAGTGCTGCCGACGGTTTTGTGGTACAAGTGAGTTTGACCGAATTATGGCCCAAGAGAGCAAAAACTAACAATACGAGCTTCCTCCTGAGGGACGCACAGGAAGACATGACAGGTACGCGGCTCAAGGACTGATGGGTGCAAACTCCGACATCACCGTACGCCATATGGCTCCATCGCTTACCATCCACGTCTCAGGGAAACTACCAACCATTGATCATCGCGGAGACTCCCGAAAGGACTAAGCACGTATCCGATGCTTGTGTTTTAAAGATAGATTTACTACATTGCATAGCATGGCGTTCTTGCAACAGATAATTGAATAACTCGCGATTCGCATTACCTTCAAGTCTGCTCCTCGTTGCTTGCCTGCTACCCGCCTCAATCGAGTATCTTTCAGCTCTGTCAGCCAAACGAAAGGGATGCTCAGAAATTAGGCATCCCAAGGGTAAAGTCGTTGCCGAATATTTCAACGTGCAGATAAATCAGACGCCCACGACAAAAAGCGAGAAACGAAAGGATGGGACGTCTGAGGCAGTGTCAGGTGTCAGGGTTTTACTTATAGCTAGCAAAGGGAGGTATCTCTGTCACAGGGATTAAGCAACTAGGAGGTTCTTAACGCATGGTAAGTAGTGATTTAGATCCTAGTACAGCATTACTTGATTTTCCAGGCAACACACGTTATGAGGCATCACAAAAGCAATAGTCCATTAAGTTTACTTACGCTTCCTCAAACCCCTTTCGTTTTGTTTCTTGCAATGGAACGACGTCACACACATGCCACACACCACGAGCAGATAAAAATACACGTTTCGTAATCGACAGCTTCATCTTGTCGTTAGGTATCATCTAACGCCAACCAACGCCAGCTTTCCCTTGCTTCAACGAGCGAACGATCCTGTACGCCTATACGACCAGACTAAAACGAACCAATGTACAAAGTGAAGTTCCTCGTCCTCCTGAATTTTGTGCAACTCACACTCTCGTCACTCGTCCGGAATATCCAACGATCCCTGCGACCATTCACCCCCAGCCATCGGCCTTGTAAAGGCGGTGATGTCATCACCCTCGGTCTGGAAAAACACATACAGACTATCCCAGAGCGTCTTCAGCGAAGAGTCCTTCTCCGCAAACGACGTGACGCTCAGATGCGTGCCGCCGAGACCCGTAACCGGACCAACCGGATTGGTAATCGAAAACGTGCTGTCCTCAACAAACGTCGTGTTTTCAGCTTGATAGGTGACATTATACCCTTTGAAACTCTTGTCGGCCATTTGCGCGTAAAAGTACGACGTGTAACCGAAAGAACTAGACGGGTAAACATCACGGATGGTGGCGTCCGTGGCGTTTTGCCATGAGTTGATGGGGTGGTCCACCTCGGAGACAGTCGTGGTGTTCGTGTCTTTCCACCAGAATTCGACGTCGTTGTCCTTGTTGGACATCATGGCGTATGTGGTTGTTCCTTCGCCCCAACTGTAACAGCCAACACCGGCATGGCCGTTGAAGCCGGACCATTTCTGGATGGGCACCCATATGTCTTGGCCGTCGTACCAGGCGTATTGCTGGAAGGTAGAGTCGTCGATGGCGAACCAGATGTTCATTCCCTGGATATCGGCAAAGGGTTGGGTGTTATTTAGACCGGATGCGGTGGGGAACTTGGTGAAGTCGGAATCGCCATAGTAGTTGCCCTTCCAGCACGCTTGTAGACCAATGCTGGGCGAGTCAAACGCCTTCAAGTTCAGATCACTGAGGGGTCCGGGTTCCCAGATGTTAGTGGCGTTGCTCAACGTTACTTGCTTAATGGTGTTATTCGTGTCAACGTAGAAGATATGAAACTTGACATAGTCAGCGCAAGTACTTTGAACAAGAACCGCTGATAGCTTACATATTGGGTGTGGTTCACGGCGAAAGCGACAGCAGATATCGGCGACGCGTTCTTCGCATCGCTTGCCACTGTTTGTGCTTTGGTCCCGCCGTCCCATTTGCGGTCTGTAGAGTACTGCATGAATCTGATATCGCCCGTGTGATGCTGGAAATATAGGGTGAAAATCCGGCGTTGACCTTTGTTCCAGGACTCCCCGGCCAGCGCAATACCGGTGCCGTTGAAAGCACCCTTCTTCGAGAAGTAGTCGGCGTTGAGAGTGCCCCCAATGCACAGCTCGGGCTTCGTGCGACAAAACGGGTCCATCGTTTCCGCACTTCTGTAAATGTCAGCGATGCGCTCATCTGGGGATCAAGTTCCTCGTGAGAGACATACGAGCTTTTCTTCTTCAAACCTAGGCCTAAGCCCAGACCAAGGCCCAGGGCAAGGGCTAGAATCCAGATGACAACGCATCCAATTAGGATAAAGAAGGTTCGCTTCTTCATGCCGCATTTCCTGTCGTCCTTTGGTGGGACTGGTGGACGATACGATTCAGGGCCATCACTCGGGTCGACGTGCTCTTTGAATCCATATGGTCTTAGCTGCGGAGACATGAGGGTCGTACCTCCTTGTGAAGAAGGCGACATTGGTCGACCTCCATGAGGATAGTGAGTGAACTGCCCTGGTACGACTTGTGGTCCCGAATAATCCGGTGTTGGTGATCCAAGTGCTTCGCGTGTGGCGTAGGGTGTCTCTTTCTCTGTCGAGTACCTGTCACAACGTCAGACCACTGCGTTGGGTTATGAGAAAGCACTGCACTTCAGCCCATCGAAGGGTACTGAAAGAAGTGGACTTTTCATAGACATTCACATACCCTTCCTGATAAGCCTCATGATGTTGGGGCTGTGGTTGCTGGTGATACTCGGGTTGTTCGAAATCGTTGAGCTGGGGAGAGACAGCTGGCGGAGAGTTTGGGTTCGAGTAGGTCTGTGATGATGCCTGAGCTGCGTAGGTCTGATCGTTTTCCTGGAACTGTGGCGGAGGGCTCCATTGACGGTCAGTATGACTCCGAGGACTGCTCATATCGTCACGATATTCCTCACGGCGGTCCATCTTTTCGGCGAAATAGATCGGAATAAGGTGAGATGGGGTGGGTCGGGCTTTTGACGAACGCGCAAGACCTAGCAGCTCTGATCCCGGCAAGTGGCATATACTCAATGCGGCTGTGCCTCGACGGGAAACGGGGCAGCAAATCTAAAGGGTGAGAACAAAGGGTGCATGCAAAAGTGCGCCCGCATGCTTCTGAAGGCCCCGAGCCATTCGCACAACAGTAAGCACAGCAGTTAATGTCTAGCCACCAATATGCCAATCGGGACTTGCCAGGCCGCAGTCAGCACTACCTCACTAGGATAGCGTTTGGGCGATCGACGCTATCATTCGTACTCGCTAAGTGCATGCTTCGACTCCGGTAAGATAAAACTGGGCCAAGTATGCGATGTAATCAGGCCAGCGAAGATATAGTGTGAGCGTCACAGGGACTGAGATATCAAACGCTGATGGAATCGCCGACTTCTGCTCCACAGACTCTAGAGGTCTCATCCGTTCTCTGCAGGGGATCGTTCCCATGAGGGCCAACCCGGGATATGGAATTCTCTCCCGAAGGGCACATTGATGGCTTGCTTGGAGCTCAGGCCTGAAATGGGGCAGCTGAGCTAATATTAGGTCGGTCATTCGTCGAGCGTAGTCATCCTGCATGCACTGCTCTTCTTAGCCCGATACAGCCGATCCTAAATCAGCTGGAGGAAACAAAACCAATATCCAAGTCGATGTAGCGCATGCTTGTTTGGTAGTAATAGCGTGAGTGGTGAGTTGGTTTTCTTTCCAAAGCTTGATAAGTAGTGTGTGGAGGATTTCTGGCGACCCCGCAA